AGCAGGAATCAAAGAGCTAATTCCTCCTCTGCCCCATGCTCCTCACATTCACTGGGGGGTGAGCTGCAGGCAGACGCTGGTCTCATCTGACTGTGCTGCTGCCTGCCGAGAGAAACTGGCATGATAGCCTCCCCTCACAGGCGAGAACTTGTGCTGTTACTGCACTGACACTGTAGGACAATTAAATCTGGCAGAAATCTGTCCTGCTGCCAAAGGGGTAGTTCTGCCACCTGGTTCTGCCATCTTTCTTGTATGGGCATCAGCAATCATGCAGGTTCTCAATGAGTGGGACCAGATAAACTTCTCTAACTGCAAACGGATCCTATTTTATCTGCAGGTTCAGCTCTAAGGCAGGCCAGTTTCCCAGTCTCGTTCACCAGGTAGCTCTGTGAATCCCAATACTGACACAAAATGGTGCAGAAGAGGCAGCAAGTGGAATAACTGAGAATAATGGGCTGCACCTTTTGGTGGCACTGCAGATTTATGCTATGTTAAACAGATCACAAAACTATGACTAATTGCCTGCAGCCAGCCCTGGACCCAGAATTACAAGTTAGTACCAATGCCTCTATAGGTCCCTTCAGACTGTCTGTACTCTAAAGCTGCATCTACACTAACAAGTAGTGCAGACCAATGGGAATGGATCTGCAGAGTGAAAGAGCAAGTATTGAGGAACACAGATTCGCGATATGCACATATAAGACCGGGAGGTTACTTCAGACCAAATTGTACGCTGAATGGTTGAAATACATCTTCAAGTTTAGCCTTTTCCGAGAAAAATCCAGTCCTGGGCTGAGACCAGTCCACAACATGAATTAAAGCATAGTGAGTGGGGACAATTAAAAGATTAACCTCTAAAGCACATTCCTGAGCCAAACTAAAGCCACTAACATAACCCAAGGAGAAAACAGTCAGGCCTAGTGCGGGGAAGCCAGAGTAAAAAAACTTCAAGTACCTTGAAGAAGTGGCTCTCAGTGATGCTGCTCTTTAGGATCCCCAACTCTTTCAGTTTCTGTCCAATAAGGCTCAGCATGAGGCTGTAGATATTTTCTAGACTCACGCCTGGGGAGCAGAGGCTCAGGCAGGACTTCTGGATATCCAGGACAGCCTGGTATAGTTCTGCTTGGGGTTTGGTGAACCTGAAAAGGAACAAAGGACATTTCTCACAGTTAAACCTCTATCCAGAACCTATTTTGGGGGCAGATTCAGTTCAGTGTTGGAGCAGGGAAAGTCAGAAAGGAAAGCAACTGCTCCTTATATGAAATGCCAGACAAGGCATCACTGCAACATGCCCTTCAATACACTGGGTAGAGGCAGGGTTTCTCAGCTGACAACCTAACCCCAAAGCAAAGCAAGGCAAAGCTACTGCAGGAAAAAGAATGCACTTGAGCCAAAACACACAGGAAACAAACACACAATCACAGGGACATCACACCAGCAAATTCACAACTGACAGAGCCATGTACAGGTCAACTACACTCCTGTTTTCTTACACACAGAGTCAGTCACAGCTGAATGCACGAAAGCCCTCTCCGCACTTTAAGAATGCTGTAGTAGCTGAAAATAGCAGTAATCACACACATTCATGTAGTAACTAATGAGGCAGTGGGGAATACAGCTTCTCATGCTGAAAGATTAGTTTATATAATTTGATTACTCTGAAGAACCACAGAATGGGACATGTTAAAACTACTCACACAGAGATTAAGCACACATACACTCAATCCATCAACTATTTAAGAGCTTCTCAAAGTTCTTCAAAACAGCCTTATTGAAGCATACCTTCCATTGACAGGCCAGGTACGTGTGATGTCACTTACGTAGCAGGACGACTCACATCCACCATCTAGCAAGACCAGTTCACCATCCTGAAGAACAACAGGAAAAAATGCCTGTGGGTTAGTCCAGCTATTAACTGAATTGATTTTTCTGTCTGAGAGCAGGAAAGGAGATTATGTATTTCTTTTTGCAAAGCAGCTGCAGAGATGTGAATTCCTTTAGCTGAACAACACCCCAGGTGCTACTGTTTATAAATAGGCTATTCCAGTTGGATTGTTTCTCTGCAAGGTAGTCTCTGACTGTTACATTTATCTACAGCCTGAACTCTTAACACACTGATTTTCAAACACTTCAGAGTAAAAAAAGACTTTTTCCTTGAACTATTCTGCGCTCTGAGACATCAGTGCCATTCACACCTGGATCGCTTACTCCAGCAAATTACACCAGTGACTCCTTTCACTAGAAGTTCTCTGCTAGTGACTGAGACAGAAGGGTTTTGCAACAAAACCATAGATTTCTGAGCTACCCACAAGATCACTAACAGCTAAAGATTTAGCCTTGTCACAAGGTAGGAGAACCCAGCAAAATCACTTCTCTGACAGAGTATCACTACTGTAAATGCACTATTGAATAGCTTGTACCATCTTCCCTGTTCTCTCCTGGGACTTTCTTGACTGCTCTAAGATATACTTCTGAATCTATCTGGTGATGAAGAAAAAACTTTTGGAGATGTGATCCTCCAATTCACTTCAGCAAAATTGTTCCATGTCAATTAAATCACTGACTGCACATCTTCCAAAAAGCCACGCAAAAAAGACACAAAATCACTGCCTTGCTTTCCCTCCTTAAAGGGGCTAACAACAAATAGAGCAGTGAGATCTGTAAAAAGTTTGGATTAAATTCTCTATGGATTTACAGTACATGTAATCCAAGGCCTTTTATAGAGATTCACTCCAAAGATTCGTGACTGTGCCAGCAGCCATGATGTGGAATGACAAGGAATAATTCAAGCACGTTAAGGGAAAAAATAAGAAGTAGAATTTCACTGCTAGCACTACTTCCAGTGCTAGCTACTATCATTGTGTACAGTTAAGTGCCACAAACACACAGCAGATAAACTAGCAGTGAGCAGATCTCACTATCCCACTGAATACACAGGCCATTAGCTATCCATTTAAATTGTATTTTTAACTTTTTCAGAATCGCTGGTTCAATTCTTTAAGTAAAATATGAAATTATAGCACCTGCCCTCTTCCAAGCAATTAAACAAGCTAAGTAACAATTTATTGGCTAAAGGAATTCAGCCTGTGGTTTGATTGTCCAGTAAGTGCCTTATGTCATGCATCTTGTCCTCGTTCTTTAAAGCCGAGTACACCAAGTGGCGGACTGAATGAAGCCCACACGAGGCCATAAGCAGCCTTCAGACACCTTCTAAATTAGACACTTTGTTGGCCTATTTGGCAACAAGATCTGTAGGAAGTAGCACACAAAGGAAAAGAAAGAGTCAAGTTTACGGGTTTAACCTCCTACTTAACAGTTTTGAAAAAAACAAGTGACAGTCATTTAACTGAACAACTTTAACAGAAGCAACTGGAGTTATATGAGCGTGCCTGACCTTGGATGACAATACAACAAAGGAGGCTTCTTTCTGCCAAAAGCAGCCTGTCATATCTTTTGTATGTATGTCTCTGCAGATCATTTCAAGGTCTGCTAGCATGCCAGCTTCAAGAAAAGACAATGCTAGTGGGAAAGTTTCATCCTGCATTAAGACAGAGGAAAAATATGCTGCTCTGAAAAGTGAATTGTGAGTAGAGCAGTGGGGGAATACTTCTCCTGAAAATACTTATCTGAATCTAAAGGTGTATTGTCAGGAAAACTGGAGAAGGTTCAATTCAATAATGTGAATCTTCAAAATACGACAAGACACGTTAATTGACCTACAGCCACCTAATCCACCTCTCAACATTTAACACTGATCCTTTCCCTTCGTGTTCCCCTTCCCTGCTTTACTGACCTACATGGGAATCCAAATCCTATTGCACCGTATGCTGCAAAGCAAACCTAAGCAATGCAAGTAACAGCAGAAGGCCCCCCCCAGTGCCTTCACTCTGCCTGCTGCAGCGGTCCCTCTCTTTTGTGAGGTTAGCAACCCGCCCAGCACTACACGCTGCTGCACACGGTGTAGGAGCAGACATGCTCGCTCAATGAAGTTATTTGCAAGCTTGTTTGCAAGTCCTTCCACTGTTCAGAAAATACTGCAGTAAGTGCAAAGAGGAGAAAAAGAGACTAGACAGAGTGAAGTTAATCTGTCACTGACAGTAAAACTAACCAGGGCAGAATTCCTTTCATCCTGCTCGCTTGAAAATAGGTATTTAAGTGTTTTGATCTGTTCAGTCAAAACAAAGAGCAGCTAGAGGGGATGGTGTGTCAAAGCACTGCATTTTAAGTTACTTGGACAGCATATGGTTTACCTTGATGAGCTGATTGTTCTTCACATAGTGCAAAGTGTTGGATCTGTTGCCACCAGCAACAACAGGGGGGTACGCCAAGATGTCAGCACCACGGGCCCGGCACTCGAATTCAAACTGGAATACCAATTCAGAGAGGAGGAGACTGTTAGTGCTGATTCAGGTGATTAACTGCCCTGGGGCTATTATAATTCAAGTCCTACAACTGTTTTCTTAATTTGTACAACACAAAGCGAAACTGGAAAAGTGAGTTCACTAAATGAAAGCAGCCTTGAAGGTTGTCCAAGAACACTGGAGGAAAAAAAATACATAACTATCCACTTTTTAAGAGTGTTTTAAGCCTGCATCTGGTCTCATGGAAGCTCTTTCTGGTGCAAGCTGCTCAATACTGTATCAAAGATTCATTACGTTGTCATAAATCCAGGTGAGGACTTGTTCTTATATAAAGTGATGCTCTTAGTTGCTATATGACTTTGCGAATTTTCAAAGATCCTCAATGTCAGCATGACAACGGTCATGTTTTGTTGTTGTCTTTTAAAATTACAAAGTACCAGCATATTTACAGCAGTATCTAGGCATCTAGTTTCATGACTTTGTTGAACTAAGAAGGTTTGAAAGCATGCATTACCTTGATGGTGGGGGCGGGGGGAGGGAGGGGGAAGCACTGTAAGCCTCAAGATCTTTACCTTTCTTGAGTGATGAAGCTGATGAAAGCATGGAAATGAATAAACTTATATCTATAAAGACCCTCTATATCCTTAATGTATTAATAACACGTCTTTTCTATAATTACCAAAAACCACATGGGACAGAACATAACAGGATGCCTACATATAGTAAAGTAGGTTTTACAATCCTGATCTGGAATGAAAAATTGATCTGTAAAATACACTTTAATTAAAATAATTTTCTTTACAAGTCAGTACTACTGCTCAGTGCCATGTCAACACAGGCCCATCTATGTCATAACAGAGGGTCAAATGCTGCTGATGTTTCTCAAACAGGCATCTCACTGCAATTCCTTACAAAACTCCTTGCCAAATGTGCAGGCCAATTAGTCCTTATTTTGTAACTGAGAGGCGTCTACACTGCTTCAAGAGAGCTGTGCAATCTGATGTAGTAAGAGGCTAGAGTCAAGAGTAGCAGGCTTTACAAATAGGTGTTATAACTACTTAAATTCTGACAATAGACCTGTATTATAGAAAAAGATAATAACTATATCTCTGACTGTTTAGCAGGTTTTGTATTTAAATACAGTAGAAAAAGATATCAATAGCAGATAAGCTTAGACAACAACTATGTTCCTTCAATAAGGGTATGGCAAGTGCAGCTGAAGAATTCCTCACATTGACTTTTCCGCACGTCCTAGGAAGCACAAAACTTGGGTGAAGAAGAAATGTGCTACAATGGGAGGCACATTATAGAGAGATCTGACATTTCTAGTTTCCTGGAAGGATAAACAACATCCATCCCTTCTATCTCACCTCCAACCACAAAGTACTCACCTTTGCATACAGAAAGGCTTCATCCACTGGGGATTTGCTGGCAAACATTGTCTCTGTGAAAGCCTATGAAAAGGAAGGGCCTTTCAGTTAGCAAAGGAGCCTGAACTTGAGGGAATTTTTTTTTTTTACCTGCTGTCTTTTGAGGAAGTCCTAAAATCAGCTGGCCCAGAACACAGGAACCAGAGGCTGCTGAAAATGCAGAGTGCTGTCAAGACTAGAACCAATTAAGCTCTGTTGCCCATGAAACTGTATTTAGGGGCTGATTGACTCGAGTTTTTGAAAAAGAATTAGATGATTAAAGCTGATCCCATGGGTTGGTATTTTACCACCTGTGGATTCCCTCACATATATTAGGAGTGCCTTATGTAGCTTTTCCTTCAGAGAAAGACAAGCTGTGCCTCTCTTTTCTATTTGGCTAAATATTTACAAAAACATAATTGCATTTGAGGTATCTGTCAGATTTGTTTAAAATTGGCCAATGAGTTCAAAAGGTATTTGGGGGAGAAGGGGGAATATGGAGACATACACAGGGCAAGCATTCACAAAAATCCTGTTTTCCTCAAAATCAATAGGACAAATGGGAAAGAAAATGGTGTGAGGAAGGAGAAGGGAAGCTGGGAAGAGAGTGAGGAGACTACCCCTGTTCCTGAATAGATATTGCTTTTAAACACAGTCTAACAGCTGCTGGCTTGTCTTTGCTGGAGTTATACTAATTGAGAGAGGCTGGTAGTCCAAGCAGTCTTCCTGTTTCTCCTTGTCATGTGGAGGGAGCTGAGCCCAGCTGATGGTTGAGACACAGCAGTTCAGTAACAGATTAGACCAAAGCTATCCTTCCAACCTATGTCACCCCATCAACAGCCCTCTCCCCTTTCTTCTTTAAAGGAATGCACTGGTTCATTTGGAGAGCACACGACCCCATACCTCTGCTGTCACCCGTCCAGCTATCTTCATCCTTTCAATCTCTGCAGGAGATTTGATCAGCCGAAGGTTTTGCACTAGATGGCGGATGCCCTGGATGTGGTTTTTGTTCCGAGCTTTTATCTCAGCCAGGGGCTGCATGTAGTCAAAGTGCAGCTCTGTATGCACTGGTTTCGTCAAGTCATACCAAACAACGTTTGACTCACCTGGAATACAAAACAAAAGCTGACACGGACAAAAATAAATGTAGAAATGTCCTCCCCATACTGAACAAACTCACTCCTCCTAAACTAGATCTGTTGCTATATTTGAGAAATTAATTTCCTCTGAATCTGCATTTACAGACCATATAGACACTTTCACTGCCACAGGATACTAGCAATCTCTTCAAAATGTGGAATATTATCAATTCATAGTGTTAGATTTGACAAATCCCCACTTCTATGCAAATATTGGGTTTTACGATCATTACTGAATGATCGTATCTCGCACAGAATGTATCTCGCACAGATCCATTCAGAGTTTGTGTATCAAAGCTGCACTTGTGCAAGCTAAGTGGTGCATGTTCTGAATCATCCTCTCATTTAGCCTGTCCCCCCTGATGATGGCAATTTACCTTTTACCCATCGCATGGAATCAGGGTCATTATTAACTATGCTTCAGAGTATCTTTGGGGAACAACTGCTTATTTCAGCCATTCAGAGAAGATGAACTTACTGAGGACAAACATACTTAGCTATGTGGAAATTTATTTAGAACATCAGAGTTAGCACCCGCATTCTCCCCACAGGAGCATTTTAAATGGGAACGAGTAGAAAAGCCATGCCGAGTCACAGCTAATGTCCACCTAGGCCCTCCTTCTTTGGTGACAGTAGCCACTAGCAGGTACTTAAAAAAAAGTCTCTAAGAAACTGCGCACTTATGAAAGAGTATTTCCCTTAGCACATCCTCCCCATTTCTGGTCTCTTTATTTCAAGGCTGCATCTTCATAACAGTGATTAACCGCTTTTCATGGACCTCTTCCCCACGGAACTGAAAACTTCTGCATCCATTTATACTTTCGACATTCCAAACCTTCTGTGAATGATCTACAACTTAAAACTTAAAAGGTGTCAAAACCTGCCATGTGATCATTTCATTCAGTGTTCCCTTTGTTTGTAAATTATGAAAAATAGCAACTAATCATTCCTACTCATCCTCTCTGTGCTTTCCATAACCATAGACATCAATCATACCTTACCTTCTCTTTTTCAAACTGAGCAGGTTTGCCCAGCATGTATCTCACACACACTCTGTACTTTTGATCATCCTTGTTGCCCTTTCTGTGACTTTTCTATTTTCAATATATCCTTTCTTGAAACAAAATAACTAGAATCCGAGATGGTATTTAAGACTGCAGAATTCCCTCCATTTATTTGTGTAATCCCCCAAGCACTTGCCCTTTTTATATTGTCATAAACCTTCAGCTTCATTTTATAATGCATTTAAGTTCACCCTGGATTATAAGTATTGAGGCTACATGGTGATGACAGATGCAGAAGAACACGTCTAAAGGACAGCAATGTTTGTATTTCAAGAGTAAGTCAACATCTACCTAAAAAAGGCGAGTGGACTAACAACCTCCCTGTGTGGATTGTTTTCCAATAAATAAAATACCTTCAAGTTTCCTATACTTCACCTGATTCTGGCTCTGTCAGTGAAAAGATATGACTAAAACAGTAACATGTTTTGTGATTTCCTTATGTTTCACAGATGTGCTCACTGGCATTCACATGGGTACACAAGAAATTCAGAGGGGAGGAAAACCTATTATTTTCCAAACTACATTTCCATTGGTGACCCTCAAGAAGCTAACAAGAACTTCCAACTGCCTTTGTCATACTGTCATACCCCCTGCACCTCCCCAAGTTCATGACAGTCTTGAACTGGTGTCACAGACCACCTTCCAAACCCATACCATTCAGATCCTGCAAATGATATCTCATCTTATTCCCCCTCCATCTTTTTGTTACCTTTCAGCTTGGCCACCAAGTGCCTGAACTCTTCAATGGTGTAAGCTTCATCTACTCCTGTGAGAGCAATTGCCCCATCCGTGCCTGATCTAGGCCCATCCCACAGCTCTCGGCTTGGATCTCTCCGGGGCACAAAAAGTATGGATTTGTGGGAGGGCAGCGCTTTGCCAGGAATGCTCTGCAGCACCAGGATGCTGTCAGGCTCCTGGAACCCACAGAGGTACAGGAAGTTAGTGTCCTGGTGGAAAACGTAGGGGATGTCGTTGCTCATGTAGTACGTGGGGTTGGACAGCAGAATCACTGTGTGGTCCAATCCATCCCAGCCATGGGCTTCTTTCTGGATCAATGCCATCAGTTTGTGTCGGCGAAGAGCGTATTCCACCTGTGACAATCCTGGCGTTACCTCTCCTACAAATACAAAACAAACCAGATGATAGAGAAATTCAAGGCACTCGTGATATTCCACTAGTCGCATGCCTGATTCCTGCCTACTCCCTAATGCTTTTCACATGCATGGCTTTGTTGTGATCCCTCATTAGCCTTCCCACTGCGCTCTCATGCATCTCTTCAGCTTCCATCCTTACAGCACATCCTCACTCAATCTGCTCCTCCACCATGCAAAGACAGAAATTTATTTTAACAAATCGGATTTTCTGTTATGTGTTTCTGTGCAAAAGCAGAAATCACAAAACCTGGTAGTTTTAGACAAACATCCAAAACAGATGAGTGTTTTCAGAAAGACATGTAAAAAAAGGGGAAGGGGCAAGGCAAACTGGACTTTGACTGCTGAAAACCGATGGGTTTTATAGCATCTGGACATTGAACAGAAGATTACCTCCTGAAGTTGAGCATTAATTTCCTCAGATAAAGCTAGAATGTCTATTCAAATACACACTAAGTCAACTCATAAAGTAACTAGTTTTAAAGCATAATGGGCGGATTGAGTGTTACAGATAGTGGGAGATCAGGCAGAAACATAGAGGTTGCAGAGTCTAACCAGTCACAAGATTCCAGGCAGAAAGAAACCACAAACCGCAGGCTGGTGGCAAACTCTGATTAAGAGAATGAATCTTTTCCAGGGCAGATGTGGCTTTTCTCAATAATTAACGATGCAGATTTTTCCAAAGTTAAATACTATATTCCTAATGACTCTAACTAAACAAATGATCTCTTAGATGAAAGTACATTTTAAACTGCTCCAGTCACGAAGGACATGAAGTACAGCGATCAAGATACTCACCAGAACCAGACTGAAGTCGAAAGAACAACCAACAGCTTAAGTATGTATTTTTAAAAATGTGAGACTCTTTAACTATGATTTAAATTAACACATGAGCCTTCATCAGTATTTTGGCTAATACTCTATTTTAACATAGATTGCATTTTCATACTGTTAACTTTCTACTTTCATAACCTTTTCTTCCTCTTTAATGTATTACGCAGTGACAACTCTAGAACAAAAATTGAAACTTGACTTGTACTGTAAGTGGATTCTTGCATGGGTGGGGTGGGAGGAGGAAGTTCTATACAGAATGTTTTTCCTTGACAAAAGAGAGTTTAAGGAAATCACATATGTTGTATTTGCATTAAACTTCACACCTTTTCAACACAATACATCCCCAACACCTATTTGGTGTAAAAGTCTTTTTTTTTTTTTTTAAGAAAAAAACCAAAACCACCAAATTCATTTTACGCTGTAGATCTAGAAATGACAGAGAACACAGAAACTCTTTTAATGCAATCTGACCCCACATTTCTGCAATGTTATACTGCAAATTTCCTATGCTCTACTGTATTGCAGTCAGCTTTCCATCACAAACAGACCAGTGAAGTTTAGAAGCTGCAGTAGGGTGGAACATGGGAATCCCATTTGTCTTCTGACTGCAAGGCCTGGAAATTCTCCTGTCTTAAAGGCATTTGCTTTTTAAAACAATAATTGCAATAAAATGATGTTGTATTATTTTAAGGAAAACACCACTCCTTTATTAAATAGAAAATTACTAGCTAGAATTAATCTCCAGTGTTTCAGCTGTGAGTACTTTTAAAGTGTCAGCCTCGTTTACTGTGAGCTGTTAATCAGTGCCCTGAGCAACCTGATCTAATATTGAAGTTAGCTCAGCTTTGAGCAGAGGGTGGACCTAGTAACTTCCTGAGGTCCCTTCTGACCTGAATTATTCTACAGTTAAATATGTAAGTGCATGGTTATACATTCATCTGTTCTCTCTGTATACCTATCTATGGAAAAAGAACACGGAACCAGGATGTTTCCCTGGACAATATGTCCTGAATATATTTTTACTTCCAATTTTTTTCAGATTTAATCATGGTCATTTCATACCTACATGCTTATTTTAATTAATCTCATAAAACTGCACAACCTCAGCTTCTCTTTCATCACGACCTTCTAACTTTACAGCCACAAGTCTCCTTTTCTTCTTTTCCTCACAGCCTGAATACTCTTCTGAAGGGGGCATGCTTTTTACACAAGTGGTGTCCATCTCTTAATAAGTCTCTCCCTGATCTCCTTTTCTGAATGACACCTTTATTTTGTGACCTGCAAGACATTAGATATGAAGCATTCTAGCAGTTCAGCTTGCACAAAGGACTCCCCCTTAATATAAATTGTATTGCATTTGCAGGACAATGAGCTCCCAAGATGCCACTGCCATGAAAGGTCTGCAGTACTGAAGTCATTGACACTGAGCACCCCATGAAAAAAGGTAAAAAGCTAACACGTGAAGCCTATTTTTGGAATCAGCATCATCTCAGACAAGGAAATGAACTACTAAATATAATTACTGCCTAATGAAGGTAATCATAAACAGCTGAAATCACAGATACCTGTATGATGCAGCAAATACTCTCTCCTAGACATCTCAGCAAAACAGAGACAAGAAAGAATACCAACGATTGGCTCACAGAGAGCCTGAACCTAACCTGGTTTGAGAAGGTGTGGGTGTGTGAAGGGGCTGGGCTGCCCCAAATACCGGTTTGGAATCTTCTTCTGCTGGGCAGGCTGGATGGAAAATCTTCGGAGAGCACATGACTTGCAAACTAGAGGAAAAAAAAAAATGCACCATGTCAAGGTAAAAGACCTTTCCAGTTAGAAAACTGCAGTTATATATATATACACACACACACACACACTCTCATACTCCAGTCATCTGACACTTAGTAGCATTCGTTCACCTTATGTGACATAAATATACCTCCTGAAGTTTTCAATTTGTTGTGTACCATAATGGTTTATGAAACAATGTGCACAAAACTCAACTAATGATCAAATATTTATAAAACAGATTGAAAGAAATTAACATATGCTAAACCTGACAATCGAGCAAGAAACCCTAGAAAGCTATGTTGGTTTGCACATCCCAGTTTCTACACTTGGTGTTCATGGTGCACTTGGCACTCACCCTCCCTTGCTCCCCTCAAACACTGCAGGGCTTGAAGCACAACACCTGTATAGCATCTTTTCTTGACTATGTCTTCAAAAAATACCACTCATCTGGAACAATTATACAGTTATCAAGGCCTTTCCAGTTCTTTTTTTACTAATAATGCCACAAAGAAACCATCAAATAACACAGGTTTATACAGCAATGCGCTTTTTTTCTGCATGAAAGATACTCGAGTCCCTGTTTATGTATTTAACTTAATTGACAGTAGCATTAGCCAAACTGAAAACAGTTCCTCAGAAGCATATAGTAACGTATCCTGCTTCCAAATCCACACACAGCCAAAGCAGACAAGTTTTAAAGAGAATTACAAGTGCGCATTTGGGAGCTGGGGGCGTGCACGATAAGACAAAAGCTAAAATTAAACATCATTGTCACAAACTTCACCAACTTTGGAATTCTCAGTCACCACCTTTTGCAGCTGAAGAACTGCTTGCGCGGAGATGCAAACCATCAGACACACGCAAGGAGATGGTAATCAGTTTCCTAACATCCACCAGCTGATGTTTTGGAAACTGGTTCTCTTTTATGTCACTTACCAGGTGCCTACTACAAAATGAATTCATGCTGCCATGGCATGGTACTGGATTCTTGGAACAAACGATCATCAACCCTCCACTAGCATAAGCAAGTATAACACAAGCAGAACAGCTGCCTGCCTTTCAGGGAGCTGACGCTCAAGACTTATAGCAGAACACATAGACTGGATTTTCTGTGGGAGCCAGTATGGTTAGCCACTAATTGAAGATTACTTATGCATGACAACTGATGGTCATATCATAAAGCGTTCACTATGTGACGACTGACTGGAGTAACAGTCAGGAGACCCAGGCAGTGAAATATAATTACAGCTTTTTGTGCAGTTTAAAAAGAGAGAGTTTTCACTGTTTCTCTCCACCTACACAGAAGACAAACAGGGTACCTTGCAACAAGACAAGAGAACGCAACCAGCATTAAACAAGGCAGTATTTTGAAGACAACAAGGAGCTTTCCACATCGTTGCTTCATTTTTCAAATAATAAGCCCTTCTTCCCTCGGATTCAACCGTGTCCGAGGCTACGGCTCCCCTGCCAGAGAGAGCCGCTTTCCCTCGCCCCCACAGCGGAACGGACGGGGGCGGCGGCCCCGCAGCCCG